TCTCTCTCTCTCTCTATCTTTCTCTATCTTATATATTCTTCATGTGCCCTCATATCCCCCAGCCTATAACCCCTATGTAGCCCTATATCGATTCATTACTTTCAGAGCCAGGGGCTCCGATAGTGGGGTTTTGTAGGGATACTAAGTCAATACATTGGGATCAAGAGGGGGCATCGGCTTCTTATAGAATATGGGGTTTAAAGATATCATTCCATCAAGGGAGGATCAAATGGAAAGCTGAGTGAAACATTAAACAGGCACTTAGATCTTTTGGCTGTTGATGTTGTTTCTGGTTCCCAGCCTTTCCGACAAATTGAGTTTTTTCTGCAGTAAACTAGGCGCTAGCAAAGGTAGATTAGGCATGTGGTTCAGCTCATGATTTGTGTTCGTTTCCGTGCGATACACTCAGCCGTCTCAGATCAGAACTCCGAGGTGTAATGATTCTTGTTGCATGAATTTGGAGCCCTCACAAGTTTCCCAAGGAGGCATAGTAGGGGCGCATACTGTCACAGTTTTCGCTTAGTTGTCAAGTACGTTGTTTCCGCATAGTCTTGTACCCATCCCGTGAAAGTTCAGTTCACTTTGTTGGATCAAAGTCGCCAGAATTGGCCGTGATGATTTTCATCTTGAGGCTGCTACACGGGAATAAGATATACAGATAGACGATATAAGTGAAAACCCTATTGCGGCAAAGTAGCAGGCTCCGCGAAGGTTCCTCAGGGCGAGCATCTGCGCTGCTTCCCGAATGGCATCAGCATGTGACGGGGATGTGATCGTGGGATACATCAGGATGAACAATATCCAAGCGCTGCGCAGATTCACTCCAAAGAACTTTGATTGGAACCAAGGTCATGGCGAAACGAGGACGCTCCTTTTGATTTTGGCCATGCTTTCGGCTGGAGCTGACACTTATGAGCGAAGGTTGAGAGTCATAGAGTGGATGCTAAAGGCCGGTGCGGACCCTCAGCGGCGCAACTCGCAAACCGCAACACCGTGGCAAATATGGAAGACGCATGACAAGGAAAACACAATGGTCACTGTTTCTACAGCTGGACGCTCTCCAATTTCCTTTGCATTTGCGTGCGTTGAGGCCATGCGCCAAGCAGCAAGTGTAGACTGGTCCGCGAGAATCAAATTCTTCGAAGGCGCCTTGGAGCTCATGGCAACCACCAAATCGAGGCCGGACGAGAACATACCGGTGCCACGCAGCGTTGTCGACACGTGGGAGGCTGTCCGGGAGATGACGTCCACACACAACGTGGTCTTCGAAGCAGCTGACGATGAGGTCTCGGCGCATGACCTTCTCCTTGTCGCGGCCTCTCCGGTTCTCAAAGCTATGTTAGATTCCACAATGCTGGAAGGATCCAGCAAGCGCATTTCGGTGAAGGATACCCCGAGCTCTGGGGTTCGTTTGTTCGTGGACATGCTGTATTCGAGTTCATCTCGCGATGATCCGGACTGCGAGGCTGCGCTCGTTGCCTTAGAGTTGGCGCACCGATGGAGCCTGGTTTGCTTTTGGGAAGGGTTTTGATTGTTGAAGGATGAAGGAGAGAGCACACGGCAAACCGTGAAAGCCATTCAGTCATTGAATGAAAGATGGGATGCCCACGCAACCCTTTTGTCATGGCTCTGTGTTTTATCCACCCATTCCGGACCCATGCTTGTACTGCAGAATGCCCCCGGACTAGAGATACCAACAATCCCAGAGGGTCAATACACCGATATAGGATAAACTTGAGCTTGGAAATACCTACATAAGGAACCCCTTGGGCCCCAAGTATGTGGGAGCTATACAAGCATCCCCCCTTTTAATCCCCTACATAATCCCTGTTGAAGAGTTTAGACTATAGATCATATGGGTTGGGTACTGCCCCACTTAAGAGTTGGATAATATATTAATGAGAACGATTAGGAGCCCTTAACATGACCTGTATTATAGACTGTTGATGGGTGGGGGCAGGACCCAACATAGACCCTGAATATTATAGTCCTTCTTAGAGGGAACCCCAAAATTGTACCCCCTAATTCTGGGAAACCCTAAACCCTAAAACCTAAACCCTAAACCCGGAACCATTTACTTTATAGGGCTTCCGAAGATCCATCGAGGCAAGTGCTCGGTCTGGTTTCAGTCATCGCGGGGATGCTTCAAGAGATGCTTACGGAGAGCAGCTCCACGCTCCTTCTTTAGGGTTGAGGGTTTAGGGTTGACAGTTTTCAAGGGTTTCAGGCTTGTACCCCTGGGTTGTACTCCTGGGTTCTGGGAATTCTTAGGTCTAGGGGACTACATTGGCCCATATAAGGGCTATATTGGGGCTATATTTGGAAAACCTCTTAGGGGTACGACCTTACGGGTACAACCCAGGAGCCCTTCAGGTGTAGGGTTTAGAGTAGGAGTTTGTTACCCTAAGGGTGCAAGTAGGTGTTATTAACATATTCATCCCAGTCCCAAGTACCTAGTCATTGGGCACATGCACCTTTAGGGTTAGATATTGGAGCCACATGCTACTTTGCAAGCATCTCCGCAAGCCTTTTCCACATGGCCCACATGGCCAATAACGAGGAACTTGGGATTTGGATGATATATTGGTAGTATAGTACGCAGGTTACGATCATGCGATACTTGGACCATTACAGCGACCCTAAACCCCTAAACCCTAAACCCATTGGGTAAGGTCGATTGAGTGTTGGTCGGAGGCTCAAGAAGCTTGTTGTGGCACTGCTCCTCAAACCCTACGTTGCTGAGCCCGGCGCGACTGCCCTGAAACTCCTCCAGCAACCGTTCAGCCCAAGACCGCCCAACAAGAGTGAGAGTTAGAGAAGTTGCTGACAAGTCCTAAAGGTCACAACCCCATCTTTGGGGCGGACACCTTTTTAAGCTTTCTCCTGCGAGCCCTAAGCAGCAAGGTTTTGTAGCCATTGCAGAAGCCGCAGTGCTTCGGGACTTAGACTGGCTACAGAGTTCCTGCGTGGCCTTTGGGGAGAAGAATGCCAAGAGTCTGGCCCTGTTTGTGCAGGGGTTTAAGATTGGGGGTTAACGAGTGGGGCAGCCGATTTTAGTTTTCAGATTAGCTTTTCGATTGCACCCTGAACCGAATCCAAGAAGGCGCCCTTTTTGTCAAAAGAGAGAATTGTTCAGCTAGACAGTAGGCAGGTCATGCAAGCATCAAAGCCAGAGCACCTACGGTTCTCTGGATCAGCTCCGCTCAAAGAATTGTCCCCATGCCCATGATGGACTGGAGGTCCACTGTAGTTGTAACCTCAAAGACGATTAAAGCATTGATAACCCAATTAAACGTCCCATGAAATGCAGTTACCCTGGATATACTAGGGTTATTAGTAGAAGTACAGTTGCGAAGAAGGTTTTATCAGTGCAGCTGACCTACAAGTAGGAAGTAGGGGCTTTCGTCTGGGGTTGTGTATGGGGCGTAGGTTGGGGTCTCAGGGGGTGGGCTTGCCCGACTGATGCGACAACATAAGGAGCCAACAAAAGCACTAAATCGTTGCCCAAAGCGTAAACCCTAACCCGGAAACATTCTCGATCCTAAGCTCCAAACCTTCAATGCAAAACCCCAAGCTTACTGCTCCCTTATTGAGGCCGTGCGTGTAGACTCCACTTAGACCTTACCCCTACCAAGTCTGCGCTTTTACATCCCGGAGCCGCTGTTGAGACTGAAGCTATGCGTTTTAAGGAATGCAGTAAGGACTTTCGGATACAGCACCTACCTAGTCGTGCAAGGATCCAAGACATGCTGAAGAAGGGCACCCTCCCCGTTCCCGTCCGCAAGCTTCTAGGGGCAGTACAGGCCCCGGATGCCACAGAGGCAGAAACTCGTCTAGTTTGATGGTTTCTAGGGTTTAGGGCTTAAGGTATCCCTGGGGCTCTATGTCTATAAGTAATATCTACATTGGGCCCCAAAGCCTATAGATAGTGCCTACCTATAGCCTTAGAGTATAGGCTTCCAGCAGGTTTTGGCTGTATGGTTCTGAATCAGTCAAACCTTCCCAAGCGCTGAGTGCACAACATCCTGCTCTGAGTGAAGTTTCACTCAAAGATGGAAACCCTAAACCCTAAACCCATTCAACGAACGCTACAACCTGTAGGGGTCCTAAGGCCCAATGCTTAAGCAGCTTTAGTACCTATTTTGGGCAAGTATTCCTAGACCTTCCTCCTACCCAATATTAGGGCCTAAATACCCACCATTAGGGACCATATATCCCCAATTAAGGGTACAAGGAAGGCCCTGGTTTGTTTCTCAGGTACCTGGGCCTTTCCTCAAAGGAGAGCGCACTGCAACTGGCCAAAAGGCGTCATTAACCAACTCCCCTGAATCTGGGTTGCTGTTAAGGAACTCAAATTAAGTTACTATATTGGGTATATATAGTAAATAATAGGGTTTCCCCAATATAGTAACTTAATTTAAGTTCCTAATCAGCAACCCAGGAATACTGCCGCCTAATGACAGATATCCCTCATGACGTGCAAAGGTAATTGTCTACGGGGATTTCCCTAGCTTCATCATAATACGGGCCTATAGTGGGGTTCCTGTTACAATGCGGGTCTCAATATAAGTTCCCCCACGTTTAAAGCCAAGTCCCATATGGGGGTAATTCAAGTTTGGGCTAGATAGAATATGGGGCATATAGGGATTATTATAATATACCCAAAGCAATATTCTATCTACTTAAGGGGGACTATATACAGGTCTGCGGTCTTCTCCTGAAAGTGGTACACACGGAATACCGATTAAACAGGGACCAGGTACCCGAAGGGCCCAAATACTATAATCTGAATGGTTTTTGGCGCCTGAAGCCCCTCACATTTGGGTACTTGGACCCTCTCCCTAAGGGTCTAAGGGCTCATGATATAAGGTTTGGGCCCAAAGACCATGCTACAAAAGGCTGTTGGGGTATTTTGAGCCTTAGGGTCTAGATAGGGAAAAGACACCACCGGCGAGGGGAAGGGTTGAAAATGCGAAGCTTCATTTTTCCTCAAGGTGCCATGCTGGTGGTCAAAAGAGGTATGCTTGGAGAGTCATGGTTAATCCCCTACCCCCAACATTAACCCAGTCTCCCAATATTTAATAGTCCCAATATATTTTAGTAATTTTAGTAACAATCCAGAATGGGGAGTATCTAATCTAGGGGGGGTGTTAAACATTAGGGGGAGGGGATTGGTAGGTTATATTGGGGGGTATGGTTATACACGGGTTGGAATAAATGTAAGAAAGTCTTCAAGACTTGCACAGCTCCTCCCCCACTGGCCACGTAATACGTAACATCATCCCCGAAGTCCTTACAGCGCAAGGTATGATCCCATTGTTGGCTACTTCGGGCTCTCTGAGGAAAATGGCAGGTCCCCGTAAGGCTTACCTTCACACAGAACAGTCCTTTTCCTACTAACTCAGGAAGAGGGACCCAAGGGCAAGCGGCGCCGCTTCCATGCACCGTGAGCAGTTGGCTGCTGAGCTCGGCAGCAACTGGGTAGAGTACAGCGGGCTCTGGTTGCCGCTTTTTTTTCGATTAGAACCATGGCAGCTCACAATGGTGAAAAGGAGCGACGGATCTCTGAGGGCCTGTCTCAATAACGGGCTTGGCATGTGCACTTTTGATTCGTTTCTACAACGCCACGGAAGAGGGCCAAGAAGCATAGTAGATGACCATCGCGCAACGATTGGAGTTCCTGAACCATGAATGTCCTACTCTTGTTGAAATAGGTCGTTAAGATGAAAGACAGAAGTCCAAAAATGAAATCACATCTAATGTAGTTAACCCCCATGCAGCCCTTGTGCTCGGGGTGGGATCCAAGCTGGGCTTTCACTGACTGCATGCAGTGCTAATTGTTGCAGGTTTCCCGGCAGACCGTTCAGGCTGGGGTGGCCTAGGTGATTTAACAGGGGCTACAGGAAGACTTGAGGGTTTACAGTCAATAGAAACTTTTTGTTTATAGCTTCCCCATGAAAAATTAGGTTGGGCTTCCCTTTCCTTATGGTAAGAATGCCACTGTTATTATGGGGTCCCGTTTAAGGGGTTGTAAGGGACGTACGAGTCCCATAGGGATACTCTGGGTTTTACGAGTTATGTGATATGGTCCACGTCTGCAATAATCAAGTACTTGGCTTGTGTATCCGTATTGTGTAGTGAGCTTCCATGATTGGGTGCTGGAAAGGGTATGGGCTCGGTGTAGAAATCGGGTTTCAGATTGGACTGTCGTTCGTTAAGCGTGGGGCTACGATTTTGGGCTCAGTGCAGGGTAGGGGATTAGGTTGCAGCACAGGGGTACGTGGGGTTTAGAGTTCAGGGTATGGTATCCTGCGGGGGGGTAGGATGTCAAATGGTAGCTTGAATTTTCAAGACCCCGCTCATTCATGCTAAGGGCTGCTGACAAGAAGCTACGCTTAGCGTGATGAGTACGCGCATGAAGGCTGACTTCTATTGGACTTAGACGCCAGGGTGGAGTTCATGGTCTAAGGGCTCAGGACTTGGGACTCGCGAATTCTGACAGTTTTACAGAAGACTTGAGCGGTGCCATGAGATCATGTATTGTGCTCTGGGAATCTCTGAGGTCCTTTCAAGGGTCTAGCATTGTCAGGACGCAAGTTGCAACCGTCGGACCCTTCAGCAACCTAATAATTACTCCCTAGCCCTTAACCCCGAAACTTTGAACTGCGAGTGGTGGACAGAAATTGTGGGCAGGAATGCCTTCCTCAACAGCCTTAGCCCAGAGGGTCCATGTAACTATATGGTACATACTTGAGGTCCAAAGAGGTTCCCACACAGCTACATTGGGGCTCAAGTATTTAATATACAGCTGCCAGCTTTCATATCAGAGCTTGCTTCATAGGTGCCCAACTATCCCTTATAGGTAAGGTTTACAGACTTAAGGGCCGAATGCATGTAGTATTCGTATGCTTTTGATCCCTGTGGATAGACGAGTCCCTGTGATTTCGTTCTTGCTTCACTGGGATGAATGAGGAACATTGGGGAGTAGTCCTCTTGCAGGCAGCAAGTGGGATGAAGGAGGAACATTGGGGAGTAGTCCTCTTGCAGGCAGCAAGTACGTTGCCGAATGAAGACTTAACGGCCCGTCAAAAGCGGGCTTTTTGGAGTTCCGTTTTGGCTTGGGGGAGGGCAGGTAGCCGCTTTCAGCCACCCATGCTGCTAAATGTTTGCGCCAGGCTACTTGAAGGAGATGCTAACCCAGGAGACAACAGCTGGCTTGGCAAAACACTCAGTGAAAAGGTGTGTTGAAGCAGAGGGGTCAGGGTAGGGTATGCTTGGGCATGTAAGTGTATGGCTTTGGTGGCTAAGCTCGGCAGAGCCCGGCATGCAGGTGCAAGTCTTTGGGGATTTTGGATTTTGGGAAAGGCTCATTAAGGCCTCCTCACTCCTGGGCTTACCCTAAATCCCTAAACTCCTAGTCCCCTGAGCCTAAACCCCCCAAACCCTTCAACCGGTTGATGAAGCAAAGCATGCACCACCTAGGGGCCCTCAGTCACAGCAGTTCCTAGGACTCAAAAGACCTAACGTGGTGGAAAATGTTGTCCACCGACAACAACATTCTTACGCTCCTAGTTTGTACTGCTCATTTGCGCTACTATTACTATGGTTCACAGTCGTGCCTTCCACTGTATTTTCCTGTTTTTTCGTCGACCACAAAATCGGATCCTCCCCCAGGTCTGGCTCTTATGCGCAGTTTTGGGAAGCATCAGGACGACCATTAATCACTTTTGAAGAGGATTGGTTCGTTGTGCGTTGTGTACTAGCACAAACGAAGCTCCTTGACGTCCGCTTGGGCCTGTTAGCACTAAACTAAAAAGCCCAATCCTAGCCCGGAGGCATCTAAGGCATGATCCTTAATCCTGCGCCCAAACTCACCTCAATAGAATTCCGAAACCCTAAACACAAGTCCGAAACAATCAGCTATGATGCCAAAGCCTATGCCCTCAATAACTGCCGCCGCAAGATACTCTTCAGAACTACACCGTAAGTCCTTGTTCCAAAGCAGGTATGTAGAATAATGAGCGCTTTTGGCTTGTAAGGGGTTTTGGGCCATATGCCCTGCTTGTTAGGTCCGGGTAGAGGTCTATCGGTGTGAGGTGCAGGGTCTAGTGGCTTCTGGCTTAGGTTCCCAACGCTGTAGACCCGAAACACTAAGGCTCAATCCTTGCTATGGACCTGGTCCCTGTGTACCCAGTATATACCAATGAGGGGCCATAGAATCCTTCTAAAAGGCTCAGGGCATAAAAGGAGATTGTAAGCGCCTGTACCCAAATCCTTCAACCCACAAAGCCCTCCTGCCTAAGTATCATGAAAAGATGTCGGAGTTTGTTTGAAAGACTGGTGCTGTAGTTGTAACAATAAGTCCCCACACAAAAGCCTCAGGCCCTGGTATCCCGGCTCCTTGTCATGAAGATGATCATTCATAGCAAGTGTATGGCTAACAATCGTCTTAGGCATATGAATGGTGGAAAGCCCGCAGCTATGAAGCTGAAGAAGGTTAATGCTTCGCAATAAACGGGGGTTGTGAAGCCTTTAAGCCCCATGATGCCTAATAATTTTATAGTTGTTCCAAAGCCCGCCTGAAGCCAGGCCTATGAACCTCTGTATAACCCCCATCACACACTTGTACAGGGAGCCCTACTGTGATACTAAATTCCTTATGAAGCTTCAGGCTGTGAACCCCAAACCCTATAGCGAACTCCTCAACCCACCACATCATCTATAGCCCTGAAGACCCTGAAATGACCCTAAACCCTAACCCCTTCTACCCCTGTATGTCTCCTATAGACCCTCTCTAAAAGCCCTACCTCCCCCAAAGGGACCCCATGGAGCCTCTAAGCTTTTAAACCCTAAACCTTAAACCCTATCCCAAAAGGGATTCCCCATGAAGCCTTAGGCCTTGGTATCTCAGCTCATGGTGGCGCTCCGCACCAGCACGGCGAAAGCCCAAGGATCGCTTCCGCCACGGGCCGCAGCACTGCCGGGGAGCTCAGTAAATGAGTTCGAGGGGAGGGGTCGCGGGGTGGGGGTAAGGGGTCTAGCTACCCCAGTAGTTTTTTTGGGGGGTCTTCTTATTAAAATTGAAAATTAGGAAAATGGGTATCCTTATTATGAATGGGTTGCTGGGGAACCTAGGACTTCTTAAGGTATGCAGGGCTATATATCATGTCCTTGTTGGCGTTCTTGCTGAAACTTTCACAGTGTCTAGCATAAGGCTCTTGGACACTCATAGTAAGACTCCAAACCTCAGGTTCCAAGGCACAACCCTTCCCGTACAAAGCCCCAAATAGTTCTCAGAGCCTTAGGGGTAAGGCCGAGGTTTCCCACCAGTGCCACAAGCACCGGCCTCTGCTTATTTTCTGGGCTTTACGTGTGGGCCTTACTTGGACATGTACAGTGTATGGAATGGATCAGGCTCAGGGAATTCGTGTATCGTAGGCCTCCACCTGTTTTCTGGATTTTATGTGTAGGATTTATGCGGGCTTTGCAGGGGTCTGTTCTGTATTTGAGCTGGACAAGTTTTCTGACCTTACCCGAAATGCCCCAAAACCCTATTCTAGTGAGTTAGGCTTACATTGAATCCTTTCTTGGCCAAGCCCAATAAACCCTAGGCCCTCGGCCATAACAGCAAAAATCAAACATCCTTTGTTGGGCCCAATGAAGTCCTCTTCGCGTCCCTGGCATTAGGTTAGCTTCAGCCGGCTTCCTCAGCGCTGGGGCCGAAGCTCATGCAGGCGGGCACCTCTCGCGGCTTTTTGGTTTAGGGTTCAGGGTTCAGGGTTTAGGTTTCAGGGCTTAGGTTTCAGGGATTGGGGTTTAGGGTTCAGGGTTTAGGACTTATGGGTTTACCAGAAGGCTCTTGGACCCTCATAATCATGAGATCCCAAACCCTAGCCCCCAAAGCACAAACCTTCCCCTGGAAAGCCCCAAATAGTCCTTGGAACATGAGGGTCGGGTGAAATCTGAATGGGTCTACATTAAGGATCCCTCATAAAGGGTTTATTGGGGGTGTGCTAGAATTGTTCCGTTTGTACGGAGCGCATTTTTTTGTTAGTGTAGGGCGTTAAAAGTTAAGCATCGTTTCAATCATAGAGAATCACATGGAGGAGAAAACTCAAAGTGAGATGGCTACCAGGGTGATCATATACGCACGGGCTCACAGGGATCAAGGCTGCGGGTCAACATTAGTGATCCTTTCATGGGGAGTATACGGGTTTGTAGGAATTGTAGGATTTAGGATCAACGTTGGGGATTGCTCGTTGTGTTTGAAGGTGTAAGTTTCGTCGTGAATTTTCCGAGGCTGACAGAGGAAGAGGAGGGTGTGGTTGGGTAGCTTATTAGGAGTTAAGGTGGGTTGAAGGGGTGGGCTTTGAGGTTTGACGTGTTGTCATGGAAGGGTTTGGGGGGGGCCTGTCGGTGCTAGGGTTTAGGTTACATAGGTTATGTATAT